TGGCAGTGATTTAGCTGCAATGCTTCAGTTTTGTCTGGTGTAGATGCTATGTAAAGTTTGTTTACACTAAGAATGATAACTTTATTAGTGTCCACACCAACAAATGATAAGCACATGCTGCAATTTTGTCCTGAAAGACGCGATCTGAGAGAATCGCCGATGCGTCGCCGACGCCCGTGAAATATTTGACATGCTAAATATCTGGAGCTGTCGGCGATTCACAATCACGCTGTGTGAAATGAGTTCTGACTGAAATTTCCCAGCAGAAGTAGGCTATGTTGTTAACAACGAAGTCATCTTTGTTATTGTTTGTTCGGGGAGGACTTATAGACCACAATATCAGCATGATCTTGCGTTATTTCCTTATCACTTCTCGCGTGCGTTTGGTTGTGAAACGTAGTTTGCGGACCAGACAGAGTTGTCGGCAATTCTTCCTATTGTGCAGTCATGCAGTCGTGCAATGTGAAGTGAACACAGCAGCAACTGAATGCTACCCCAGATAGTCGTGGAGTGTGAAAACAATGATGATCCGATGATTTTGAAAATCATGCAGTGTGAACTCGGCATAAGTTGACTAAATGTCTGAGCATTTTAGTCTAGTTTTAGTAAATGAAAACATGCTATAATTGTAAAACTGATAAAATTTTTATATATAGTTATAATAGCAAAGATTGTTGTCATTTGAGAAATTAGTTTTTACATTTGAGGTATTGCACTTTCACCAATTAGCACAAATCATGTGGACTTATACATATGGTTTATTTTACCTTATCTAGTGTACTGTTTATTATAGGCTATTTAATATATAAATTAATATCAAAGACTTGTGCACTCCCTCTGTCTACTTTATGAAAACGAACAAAAATATTATAACAGTAAAATTCCTAATAGTAATTCCAATCATTTTTCTCTATTAAAGTGCCCCTATTATGCCATTTTTAAGGTTACTAATATTGTTTTATGAGTCTCCTAAAACAGGTTTACATGCATGCAAGGTAAAAGTGGGGAGGATTTTTTTTGTGTTTTTTTATTTTTATTTTATATTATTATTATTATTATTAAGCGATTAGCCATGTGCAAACAACGTGGCAATATCAGTACATTTTTGCATTCGAAATTAGAATATACAGAACAGGTGCATGAAGAAATATATATATATATATATATATATATATATATATATATACACAATTCTAAACCCCTCCTTTCCGTGAGCCCTCACTGCTGTGATTGGTCAGATGGCGCAGTCCTTTGTGATTGGTCCAGAGCCGTAGAGAGATCTGGCTCTGTATTGGTCTACCGCGTACAGCGCGTTTTGGAAACGAAAGGCCCATTGCCATGACGGAATGACAGCCCTGGAGACTTGTCAATACATAGAAAAGATGGTATCGATTGTACCTTACCAATTCGAGCCAAAGTCTGATGATGAAACGGTTGAACTGGCTGATCGACAAGAGACTAATTCGCAAGCACGACTGGAGCAGGACGTTTCTCAGTGGTAAGTGTCAAGTGTTAACAAGTTTGTGGTAATTATAAGATGTGATAAAACAAAGTTACTCTCACAGAGTAGGATACGGCGTCTTCTCGACATGATGTTAACCACACGGAAATTTTACTGTTTGTGGGCGGGCAAGTTGGCGACGTAGAACGTGGGCAGACATTATGCAAATGTGTTACTTCGTGACGTAGAGCCGTAACAGAATAAGATTCGAATTCCTGAAGACTCGTTTAGGCGATTGCGAGCACTGTCGACTTCACAACAGATAGTTTATGTTCACATACAGCTACATGCCACACTGCATGCAAGGTAATATTCGAAAAGGCATAATAGGGGCACTTTAAAACAACAGCGGTTGAGTAAGTGCATTTATAGTCACAGTTATCGTTTATTGACCTTACTGTCGTCTCGACATCGTCTCGTTTTAATTGTGGGAAAAAAGCTTGTCGACGAAAAATGTTCTTCATAGTTTTTTAAAGAAATTAACACTAGTGTTCATGCTGCCATTTCTAAAATTTTCAAGTTTAGTCAACTCAATTACCCAAGTTGTCACTTAGCACAACTTCACATTTAAAGTTGACTAAACTTAAAATTTTAAGGTGAACACTTAGACTCTAAGTTGAAACAACTTTTTTTTTTACAAAGTAGATTTAAATAGAAGGAAATATATCCATTGTTATGACATCACAAGTCGTCATTTCCGTGTCCATGCGCTCCATCAGACGCCAAAAGCAATCAAGAAACGGTGCTAATATCTAATAATAATATCTGCTAATATATTTCCTATTACTTGTTTCGCTTCTGTTTCAGTTTTTATAACCATTTCTTACTATGTGTAAGTAAGTTGTTGTTTTTTAGCATGTGTGTTTGGGAGTGTTATTTTTTAGGATTACTGATAAACTACTGTCATTTGATTTGTATTATTTGTATTTGTTATTTATTTTAATTTTAGTTACATTATGTCTGAATTTATTATGTCTGTATAGGTCTTTTATTAAGGTTTTAGTTTTACTTAATTTGAGTTATTTTAATACTTCAACAAACTAAATGGAAATGAAATAATACATATATTGAATTTATAAATGTGTATGTACATATACAGTATATATGTATGTGTGTGTTGTTGTACATACACATATATGTAGTTGGTTTTTTGATGTTTGGCTTAGTGTTATGTTAGAATCATTATTATACTCTTATACCTTTTGTTCTTTAATATTTTGAATTGTTTTTAGCTTTATTTTTTTGTTTTTCATTTAAATGTTAAGTTTTGAAAATTTGTTGTATGCATTTGTCACTTTTATTTAATCTCTTTATTTTTAAAATGTGTATAGGTAGTATTTATAACGTTTTAGATTTTAGTTTTGGATCTGTTTTTAGTTGTTTTAATACTACAATTGATTGCTTCTGTTGTCCTCATTTGTAAGTCGCTTTGGATAAAAGCGTCTAATAAATGACTAAATAAATAAATATATAATATCCAGTCATGGTGTGCTGCAATACTGCTGAAAAATTATGATCCTTATACTGAAATCACAGATAGCCAGACAGTGATTCATCTTTTATGAATCATTAATATTGTATGTACTGCACGTTAGCTTGCTTATTGTGCCCAAGAGCATGAGCATGAAGTCCACATGCCATATTAACAAGAAACTATGCTTCCAACCACAGGTCAAGAACTGTAGTTCCATTCATACAACTTTGCAATGCTGTTTACGAATGTTTGTTGGAACTGGTTTTGGGAAACGCGGGGTTGGCTAACGATGCATTTGATAAATGCATAGTTGCTGAACTAGCAGTTCAGCACAGCTAGTGGCACAGAAATTACACACTTCACCTTTAAGCTCAGAAAAGAGAAAGCATTTTAAAGTCAAAAAATTACACCCTTCACCTCTAACATAAAAGTGATGATGGTCAAATGTCAAGGGTTTGTTATGAGTGAGTGGAATGTTGTCATATCATTAGCATCATGGACACGGCCTTCTGTCTACACCATTCTTCATCTCTCTCTCTTCCCTCCCCTTCAGCCCCTGTTCCAGTTTCCTAGAGTTTTTTTATTATTTCATGGACCTGTTCTCCATGCACTCCCTGTCAGCCTTTACCCCGGTGCTCTGTGATTCTGGGTTACAGAGGGGCCAGGCGTGCATGTGGGCGTGTGAGCGGAAACCAGCTACTGACATTTCCAAAGCGTGTTTCTCAGAGAAGAAAAAAGCGGTGGTCAGGCGTTTTTTGCAAAGTCACGGCGTGTGGGCGAGAGGTCGAGAGGGTCTGTGCCTATAATGTGTGATATAATCGAGACCAAGAAAGACAGAGAGGTAGATGTGTGGTTGGCGGTCAAGCCATGCTACAGCGTTGACAGTATTTATGTGTGTGCATGTCTTAATATCTCAGTCTATATATGGCTAGCAGATAAAGCAGATAATCACATGGGCACAAGTTCTCAGAGTCGATTTCTCTCAGGTCAGCATCTGGACGCCATTAGACTCCATTAGAGATTAACAAACACAGAGAGGCATGGGCGAAATAGTTAATAAATCTCTTAATATTATTAATGATTTTCTTTCTTTCTTTCTTATTTTTTAAAGCTATTTGACTATATTAAATATATAAACCTTACCATTAAAAAGTTTGGAGTCAATGATTTTTTTTCTTAAAAAATACTTTTATTCAGCAATATTTAACTGATTAAAAGTCACAGAAAAAACATTTATAATTTATAGATTTATATTTTACATAAATGCTGTTCTTTTGGACAAGGATCAAAGGATCCTGAAAAAAAGGTATCATGGTTTCCACAAAAATATTTGAACTGTTTTCAACATTGATAATAATCAGAAATGTTTCTTGAGCAGCAAATCAGCATATTAGAATGATTTCTGAAGGATCATGTGACACTGAAGACTGGAGTAATGATGTTGAACATTCAGCTTTGACATCACAGAATAAATTACATTTTAAAATATATTATTTTAATAATATTTTTCACTGTATTTTTGATCAAATAATTGTCTGAGAATGAGAGACTTCTTTCAAAACATTTAAAAATCTTACTGAACCCAAACTTTTGAACGCTAGTGTTTGTTTTGATATTTATGTATTGATATTTCTTATGTATTTTTATGTATATATTTAGCCATACATGCTAATAAATCACCACATATGTTTACAAACATATATACAGTTTAATCTCATTTGCAAACATGAATAGAACTTACCAACTTAAACAGCATTTTGTTAGTTTAAATCAGAATTGGATTTTGATGTTGGAACATCTCTGAACGCTCAAATGCACAGCCAAATAAAAATCACTCTAAAATTATTGCAACATGATGTTGCTTAATTTTATATCAACTGCAAAATAATTGCAAGTACACTGTGAATATTTATTTACTGTATATTCACAGTGCCCTAGTTCAGAGAAATGGCACTGAAAAGGGCAGCATAAAAGCACACCGTGATGTAGCGTGAGATAAAACATAAGATGAAGTGATACACTTGCCTTATCTCCACTGGAGTAGAAGAAGTAACGCAGACGCACAATGTTGCAGTGGTCCAGTTTTCTCATGATCTGAAGTTCACGGTTCTGCAAGAAAACACAAACAAGAAAACAGTTTGATTTAAGCTAATATTTTCAGCTGCGCATAGAGTGTAGTACTCAGCAACAGCAGTACTCTGAGCTCAGTTTACCACTTTTACCATATTTAAATCCCCCACACTCAATCCAGAAAAAGTGAAAAAACTGCAAAGATGCCATATGGGATCATTGATTTCCCTTTGAAGCCTTGTGATCCAGCAAAAACAATTTTCTACATTTGGTAATGAGCTGGTTTATTCATTCATTTTTTCCAACACTAAACCGCTGAAATAGAACTGTGATAATGGCTGATACACGTTAAGTGCAATTCAAATAAAACACATACACAGCAACAAATAAAGTCCTCGAGAGTTCCTCGCTTAGAGGACTTGAGTCAGTTTCTGACCCACATCTGACCAGAATAATAGACCAAAATAGAGCGACTGGAATGGCCCGTAACCATAACAACAAGAGTCATCTGGCAGCTTCCATGAGAGAAACTGGCTAATCAACGATTTTATTTAAAGCACCACCCACATGGTGTGCGTCTGAGAGAGATGCTTCCTCTATTTACATGAGAGCAGCAGAAGGTGACTGCAGGGCATTAAATACATGAAGACATCATATCTGACACAACTTCAAGGCTTTTGAGGATTTGTTTATTCAAGGCCATGGTCACTTTTGAAAATAGCAGGGAAAATACATTAAATGTCTGTTTGGTTTGTTTGGTTGCATGGTGTGAAGCAGTTTGATAAAACTAAGTCCACTCTGGGTTAAAGAGGTCGCTTTGGTATGGTTCGCAATTAGTATGAAATTATAAAATAGTGCATTTATTATAGTTGTTTCTCTCTGAATACATTGCCTTTGCACAGCAGCCTGAATTTTTCACATCTCTTGCAATGCATTTATCAGACAAATTCATGCACAATGTAAGAACATTATTGTGTGAAACAAATGCTTTAGTCTTACAGTATAAATGCAGCCTATTTGACCTGCTCCTGTGTATTACTGACAAGAAAAAGAGCGCTTCATATAATTATTTTAGTTCTTAAATATTGTTTCCTTGAATAATCCCTTGAGAAAACTGAAGCAATGTGTATATGATTGGGAAATATGTGAAAGCATGTTCTAATTAAATTGTAAATTTATATTAATATTATATTTATTACAAAAAAAAAAGTTCTAAAGTTTAAAGTTGTGCGTTTAGGATTGGTTTTTGCTGTAGTATAATAATTGTGAAATGACTGGGGTACTGACGTTTTGGTATCCTGACAATGAAGTTGTGAAAAGCAACCTGCGGGGACAGAGGGAGGGGTGTGGAATCAAACTTGGGTTTGTGTGTGTGTGTGTGTGACTCTGTTAGCCTGTAACTCCATCAAAATCACATGGTGGGTGGTAATTTGTGAACACACTAGTCTCTGCCAACTCTGCATACAGTCACTCTCATCAGGCCGCATTACACAGATACATCGCTTTGCTTCAGAAAGCCTGTATTAACCCCCAGAGCCGTCTGGAGCACTTTTTATAATGGATGGATGCACTTTTTTGGGCTTGAAAAGCTCAACCCCCATTCACCGCCATTATAAAGCTTGGAAGAGCCGGGACATTTTTAAAAATATAACTCTGATTGTATTTATCTGAAAGAAGAAAGTCATATACACCTAGGATGGCTTGAGGTTGAGTAAATCATAGAGTAATTAACATTTTTGGGTGAACTATCACTTTAACAGTTATTCTTTCATGAGATCATTTAGTGAAAAACTGTGAAAATCTGGTCTCAAACATTTATCAGATTGAATGTACTTGCTTACAATGGCTGTTAGCTTAAAGCAATGGTTTCTCTCATTAAAATGAAACCATTTTAAATTATTTTACAGAATATACATGAATACTGAACTAAATATGTTCAAAAGGCTGAAAAATATCATGCTTAGAATAAGCAAAAATTGAATATTTTAGCTACTGTTTATTGCGCAGCCCACTAATGCAGTTATAGTTGGTTATAATTGGTATATATTTATAGTTATAATTTTTAAGGAGAACGCAAACAGTACCTTTGCTTCATGCACACGGCCAAGTACACAATCATTTCATGGAAAATGATTGATTCCTCTGAAAAGCCCCCATTACATCACTTCAGCTGCACTATTACATCACACAAGCATTTACAAGCATTTACGTAACCTAAAAGCAGCAGTGTTGATTACTGGCTTCTGCTGACAAAATCAGTATATGGATGTATACATATAACACTTATCTAGGTTTCTCTTTATTTTTTATACATACTAACTAATAATACACGTATCCACTGACGTCAAAGTAAGAAGCTTGAGGGACAATGAATATTGGGACTGTTCTTGCATGCTAATTTCATGTATATATGTGTGTGTTTGTTGCAGGGTAAAGGTCATACAGATAAACACTCCTACAGATACTGACACACTTCACACATACAGATCCTCTCTCGGATGAGCAAGAGAGGGGGCAAACTCCACTGAAAAGAAAGGTGGAAAAGACTGACAGAAATAACCAGGGTTGCCAACTCTCACACATTTGGCATGAGACATACGCTTTTAGGCTCTGTCTCACGCTCTCACTCTGCCCATGTAAATCTCACGCCAAATTGGCAACCCTGCTTGTGATATGAAACAAAGTCTCAGCTTTTAAATTGTGTATGTTGTAATACTAAATTCTAACAATAAATACCGTTTTGGCGCACTTAATGTGGCGTAAATCGTAAAATGTAGCGCTTCAGTTAAAGCCAGAGCTATAGAAAAACAGAGTTGCGACAAGCTTTGTGACATAAGTGGTTCAACCGTAATTTCATGAAGCTACGAGAATACTTATTGTGTGCAAAGAAAACAATAACAACTTTATTCAACAATTTCTTCTCTTCCATGTTAGTCTTCAACGTGCGTTCATGAAAGTACCACAACGCATGCATGTGCATTCCTCTGCTTTTAAACAAGGCGAAGATAAAACGATTTTCAGGGGAGCACAAAACTGTTGCTGTTTTTTTATCACTATGTCTCATTGGCTCTGTAGATTTTAAATTTTTATCAATACTTCTTGTTACTGAATGAATTATATATTTAGAATTGACATTTCACTATTCATCTGCTATCTTTTTCACTGGACTACACTTTGGTATAGGGACCAATTCTCACTATTAACTAGTTGCTTATTATCATGCCTATTATTATTAACGCATTGGCTGTTTATTAGTGCTTATAAAGCACATATTCTGCATGACCATATTCTACATTCCTAATTCTACCCCATACCTAAATTTAACAACTACCTTACTAACTATTACAAATTAGGAGTTTATTGAGGCAAAGTCATAGTTAATGGTTTGTTAATAGCGAGAATTGGACCTTAAAATAAAGTGTGACCCACTGGCCTTTTACTTCAAAATACATTGAATTTGCCCAGAAGGTATAATCATGCCTTTTGGAACAACCTTCCTGTTGGAAATGTGCCAGTGATGACTTAAAATGCTGGCTATACAGGCAGCAGCACTATCACCCTAGAAGACCCGACAAAGTGTCAATGGAAAGGGCGCACAGCTTCACAGACAAAACACACACACAAACACACACACACACCAGAACAGTGTGTCAATGGGTGAGTCCGAAATCGCATACTGCTTAGTAGGTACTACATTTGAATTTGAACGTACTACTCGACCGTTAAAAAGCCGCCTTCCGCCATTTTGGAATATGGCGCCTCCTCTCCCGTGGCCTCATGGGATAGTAAAGTGTCCATCGTATGCATGGTACGGAATTCGGGCAGAAGTAGTAGGTCATCCGGGTACTTTTCGCCTACTGTTTTTCGAATACTATGAATTCGGACATACTACTCGCCTCGCATACTGTTTTTCGCCTACTATATAGTATGGAAGTATGCGATTTCGGATGCAGCTAATATCTCTGTCAGGTCACTGTACACACGCTGTCCTTCATATGTGACCCGTTCTGTCTCACACACGCCACATGGATGCACTACAGCTCTCTGATGGACATGTCTCTTCCACGCTGGTCACTGTCCCAACGAGACAAAGTCATCTTTTTCACACTAGCGGAAATCACTCGTTGACATGAGTGACCTAAATTTCATTTACACCACCATCTGATCTTACAGTCACTCTCAGCACAACAGCATTTATGTGTCGCTGCACATCCTTCTGTCAATCATACTTTTTTGCTGCAATATACGAAAGAGATGATGCCTGTCATCTGTCAGTACAAAATCCCCTTCCTTCTTACTTAAGTGCAATTCTACTCCAGATGCAACAGCAAAGTCTACACTCATTGGATCCAGGACTACTGTCGCTAATATGGGGGCAAGTGGGAACAATTGTAGGGGCCTTCAGGTCTAGAAGGGCCCAAAACAATTTCAGTAGCAGGCAGGTAACTAGGTTTACTGCTCCTTAAAATTTTGTTTCTCACGTCATCACCAGGAAATGAATTGGTAAAATACCTATGTTACAATTACCTTTACTTAAAAAAGTTTTTTACTTTAATGGACAAAGATACTTTTATTACACTAAATTACACTACAGATGCTAAAAAATGGAAAAAAATTGATTAATAAGAACATGTATTCAAGCAGCTCAAACAGTAAACCATGATGCTAACAATACCAGGTTTGATATTAACTGTAAATGTACTGTAATTAAAAACTGTAAATGAACTGTACTGTAAAATAAAATCAAAATTATTATTTCTCTTAAATATTCCACAAATATTTTATAGTGAAATATTGCAAGAGTAATATTTCTTTTGTTTAAAATTGTTATTCATTAATATTAATAATAACATTTATTATTATTATAATTATCATTATTATTATTATTTCATAGCCATATGTTACTTTTTTTTTTTTTTTGTTGCACC